GCCTTGTTTCTTAAAATTAGCAACGAAAAGGTAACATTTTGGCCTGAATTTCAGATTTTTTTGATTAAGCACAGTCTTATTTCTATCACTTGCATTCTTATAAGCCTTTTCAAACTGTGCTCTGGGATACAGGAAATCCTCTTTTGCTTTTTCACTTGTCCTGAGTAAAGGCTAATTTTAAAGTAACTGGGTAAAAATCACACATTCCATCCCTCCAGGGGTGGAAGTCCCAAAAACTACAATACAGGGGTACTAACTACTCTTCAACATATTTCTCCAAGCTATTTGTAACTTTGCACATGCCAGTTTAGCAGCTGGTAGCACAGGAATGTGAAGGAAAGCAATGTATTTTAGTGGTGCCCGGTGGCCAGCCAAGCTCTCTGGAAAGGTGGTATAGCTGTGAAAAACACACACAGATCTCAAGAGAGTAATTAAAAGTTTGTCTTTGCTCAGGCATTTTGGCTGGTTCCTACTGGGTCACACAAATATGGAAGATTACCTTCATATACAATTTACTATTAATTTACGTTTAAAGGGCTACTTATCACTGCATTTACCCATATTTTTATATGTGATTTTAGACACACTTACTGTGAGAAGAAATAATCCCCATATGCAACACTTCAATAATCCTTCTAATATGGAAAATCTTTTCCAGCCACTTAAATTTAGCATACAGGCAGATTATCTACTCCAAAAGGAGAGATGTACCTTGCCTAGATTTCTGGTAATTAATACAGTTGTAACATCCCTTCAGTCAATGCAAAATAAGCTAAAATTTCATGGTTTGTAAACTTGTAGTCACAGTGTAGAACAAGCATACTACCAGTTTGTATTTAAATGTCCCAGATAGACAATTTTTGCCTGGCAAGCTGAAGATGCGTTTAGCTGAGGGAGTGATTCATGCCATCAGAATGGGGGAACACGTTGATAGAAGAAAAATCCAAACGAATCGCAGCATATTCACTCCAAAATGCACTGGGAAAGGCTCAATCATCTCCCTGTTCCCTCATCCTTTTTATAGTGGCATCCTGGTATGCTACTTTTGCGAAAAATGATATAAATTTATCACAATGTATGCAATATATTCGGGCCTGATATGACAAAAAGTAAACTGAACTTTCCAGCACTTCCTCAATTTGCGTGAATGTGCAGCGTTTACTGCTTGCTTGATTTGCCATCTGGATTGGAAGCTAAGCAGACAATTATTGTAAACTAGCACCTGAAAAATCTATACTTCTCTAAACATTTTTCATAGAAAAGTCCTTCGCAAGTTTATAGTAAAAATTTACACATCAATTGACACACATTTCATAGCTGATGCTGTGAGAAATAGAAGCTGTTGCCAAGACGAAAATGCATGAAAATAAAATGTAAATGCAAAATCCTATTACGTTTCTTAAAGGGAGCAGTTATTTAAAAGAACACTTTAATATGCAGCTGTAAAATTTAATATTCTGTCTGCACAATTTTATATATATATACATAAGCTGAAAATATGCATTCCTCAACTATTTATGCAACTTTAATAGAGTGGAATTTTTATTTGTAAATATGAGTTTAAAAAGATGCAATTTTAACATCCTATTATTGCATTTTTCCCAAATGCTCTAGGCATCAATGCTGTTCACCATTTAATTATTTTTTAAATTAAAACAATATCCAGTAGCCTCTGTGTTCTGATTTTCAAGCACAGGATCAAAACTATCCTTAAGTCACAGGTTAGGTTTTCATTGCCACAAGCAGCTGTGTTGTGTAAGCTTTCTATAAAGTAGCCAAACTCCGTGTTAGAGGTAATTTTTTTTTTTTTTTTGCCTTTTTGACTGATAGCCACACCGCTCTTATTGAGAGGATGAACTTCATGGTCTTATGGTTACAAACTGTTTTCTAATTTCTAGTTCTTATCCACTTGTTTAGATCACTTGTTTCTACCCCATGGTTACACTTCCAGGAAAAAAAAAAATTCTTTATTGTCCTTTATTTTTCTCAGCTAATGTGGTTTTCTTGTAAATATTCTCTATTTCCATCAACTGCCAAGTAGTCCTTCTTAGCACCTGCTCATTGGTCCTGCAAATTGATGATCAGAATTGTACACATTCTTATTAATAAGGTCACTGTACAGTATTTTGCCAGAGTATTAATATTTCCCTCTCTCCACTGGCAGTTATTTACTTACTTCACCCTCAGAATACATTTCTCTTTTTCACAGCAAAAGGCCCTAATGGTTCCTAGGCACACTGTGATCAACTACATTCACAGATCTTTATCATCTTCAGTCATTTCCAGAAGATGTGTTCTCCTTAAATCTGACAGTAGAATTCCAATAGTGTGACGTGGCCCAAATAATCTGATTTCCGTATGCGCTAAGTTCCTAGTACTTCTGTTGATTTGCATAGGATTATCAATTTCAAGGATCAGGCTAAAAGAAATTCAAGCTCATTGTATGTAAAGTATTTCTGATAAGAAGTGTAAGTTTACAAGGATACCAGGTTTGCCAGATAAGACTGAACATGTGCTCTGAATCTAGATGACCTGAGCATCCAAATCCTGTAAATGCAAGTCAAAATCAGAGTTGATTCAGCTCGTCTGTTGGCAAGGGGATGCAGTTGCTCTTCAAGATTTTTAAGACTCCAAAATAAGTCCCTCAGCTCTGTTTGCAACTACATGACCCTCTCTCAGAGAAAGGAGGTACTGCACTACTCTTGGGCAAATTTTTCTCACTTTCATACCATCCATCCTAGCTTTTTAGCCAGCTGCTATGAGTGACAGTGCCTCTCTAGCATTTCCATTACATTATAGGTTGCTCCACAATCAAGTCAGATTTAACATATAAATTCAGTTCTTAACGATATCTGGATGTCATCAAAAAGGCTCCCTCATGTTTACGTTGAGGAGAGCTGTTGACTAGTTTACCTACTGAGCATGGTTAAGACAATGTCACAGCGACAAAATCTCACCCCATGCTAGGAAGGAATTAAGGGCAAAATAGTCTTCTCCAACCTACCATCCCTAATAGTGTCTCAGAGAACAGTGCACTTAAAAAAAGTCCACAAAACCCAACCAAATGAAAACAACCCAAGATCTCAACGAGAATCAGTTCACCGAATCAGATCATAACACAAGGACAGAGAAAAATGAAATAGAGTAATTAAACCTCATTGTTCAATTTGCTACTAGAAGGCATTCAGGTGCAATATGATGAGGCTAAAATTAAGAACCTACATTAGAATAGGAGTACCTTTATGTAAAAATAAGAACCCCGAGATGGAAGCATCCTGGTTTTGGCTGGGACAGAGTTAATTTTCTTCCTAGTAGTGGGCATAGTGCTGTATTTTGGATTTAGTTGGAGAAGAATGCTGATAACACACTGATGTTTTAGTTGTATGTTGATAACACGCTGATGTCTTTAGTTGTTGCTAAGTACTGCTTATGCTAGTCAGGGACTTGTCAGCTTCCCATGCTCTGCCAGGTGCACAAGAAACTGGGAGGGGGCACAGCTAGAATAGTTGATCCAAACTGACCAAAGGGCTATTCCATACCATATGGCATCATGCTCAGTACGTAAGCTCCGGGGAGTTGGCTGGGGGGCAGCGATCGCTGCTCGGGAACTGTCTGGGTATCTGTCAGATGGTGGTGACCAATTGCATTGTGCATCACTTGCTTTGTATATTATTATTACTATATTGTTATTATTACTACTACTATCTTACTTTATTTTATTTCAGTTATTGAACTGTTCTTATCTCAACCCACGAGTTTTCTCACTCTTACTCTTCCAATTCTCTCCCCCATCCCACCGGGGCAGGGGGAGTGAGCGAGCGGCTGCGTGGTGCTTTTAGTTGCTGGCTGGGGTTAAACCACAACAGGAAGTTATTCTTCTAAATATAGGAATTCATAAAATGTGAATTAAATACCTAATAGAAATGTATCTACAAGGACACTGTATAAATTCTTAGTCTCATTTGTGTCAATAAAAACATAGCAACATTTCACCAGGTAGGTCTGCCTCCAGTAAAATACTTTAAGCTCCATTTACACTAGGGGAAAACTTGAAATCTTCAGTTATATTGAAGTAATGGCAGCTGTCAGTCTCTTTCAACACCAAATATGCTCACCTTGATACTCTCAGGAAATTTTCAATTAGGTAAGCCATTTATAAGCGACTAGCGTAAGCTAAGACAGAAAGCATTATTGATTAAAATCAGATACACTTTTAGGAAAAGAGAAGCAGTACATGTGTGTATTTCACCTAAACATAATCCATAACATAAGAATAAAATAACGCAACTTAAAAAATCTTTTAGAACAGTTAAGATTCCAATAATTTTGAAACAAAGAAACAGATAATTAAATTAAATTAATAGACTAATCACAAGGATACAAAGTAAAACAGAGCTATGTGAATATTTTTCTAGATGAGTACTCAACACTGCGATGGTATTTCTTTTATTAAATGCCACTTCATAGTAGCATGGCTCCATATGTATGTTATAATGGAGAAACCAGAAGCAGCACTGTTCCCAACATAGAGACACATTTGCCTCTTTCACTTCATCTCCCTTTAGGCAAAAAGGAAATTAATAAAAATTACAAGACAAGTTATCTGTATCTAAGCATAAAGAACAAAGGCTTGGCCACTGCTTACACTGGTGTATTGGATTTGCTGGGCTATTCATTATGCTGGATGTGTTACACCCGACTTCTAGAGAAAAAGAGTGCAGGACAAGTCTCAGCCACTGTCACTCCTCCACACCACACTAATGGGGAAGGAGATCAGCACAAAGCATAATGTATTCTGTTATGTATCTGTCCTAGAAGACAACGCTGGGACTTCAATTAACTCTTATTAAATTCATCAAGAGATCCCATAAAGGGTTATCCTGCAGGGAAAGCCTTTATTGGCAACGTTTCTAGCATGGTATTGTTATAAACCAAAAGACTAGATCTACAAAGAACTGCTGCCACATTTCAGGTCTTAAAAAATTATTTTATGCATTTACCTGCCCCCATTATGAGCCCTGGTGCAGTGTCCTTCGTATGGACTGTTCCTGACACATAGGGATTGTCTGCCCAGCGGAGATGGAGGTGAAGGTAGCAGTCAGGCTTGTGGGGGAAGAAGACAACAGGTTTAAAAAAAAAAAAAAAAAAAGAAACAAAAACCCCACAAACAAAAAAAACCAACCAAAAAGAACCAAAAAAACCCCACCAAACCCAAACAACTGGTAACAGTTATGCTCCTATATGAAAGCCCAGTCAGAGCACTTCAGATATGTCTTTATAGAGATAGAGAATGGCTGTTTCCCGTGGAGCCAAAATCCACTCTGAAAAATTAAATTTAGCTATCTAACTACCAAGAACCTCTGGTGATGTCTGCGTAGTCTGTCACTATCTCAGCAAAAAGATTTCCAAACTCAAAAAGGTCAGGATGAAATTACTTTATAAAAAACCTTTGTGACAGAACAATTGCTTAAAAAAACCTAAAAAAACCAAACAACAACAAGTATTGCATGTTTTTTCGTTCCAGGTAACTGGTAAAATGATGATTAAAAACAACTGTTTGTACCGAAATGTCTTTTTTAGAAAAAAAGTAGTATGAAAAATATCATAATGACTTTTGGACACATCTGATCACCTCTCTTTGCTAAGCAACTTGCTGATTCTTGCTCTTTGTGCAGGAGCACTGAAAGGTCATATTGTTCTCAGCAACCTGACCATGAGCCTTACCAGGAGCAGGCTGCCAGCATCGGCTGGGAGCTGCTGCCACTGCGATCCCTCCGCTCATCAGGCTTGAAACATACAGCATGGTTTTAAAGTCTTCAAAAGGGAGCCAACGGCTCCAGCCCTCCATTTCTGTTACATGGAGAGCAATCAAATCTCTGGCAGCGGAAGGACTAAAAGCATTTATTTCACCCAGCCTGGTGTCCCCAGGAGCAGAGAGTCAGTGAGAAAAACACAAGGTTTACAGTACAGCCTCACAAATAACAAAATACTATGGGTAGCTGGGACATCTAAATAAACTGAAATAACAACGTCTTACAAAAAGAAAGGACTTTTTCATGCAGTTAACTGTTGTATTTACTTCCAAGCAACTGTCAAGAGTTCCCTTTAACAGGGAACCAAGGGTTACCTTCGTTTAAAATGAAACAAAAATACAAAAGATGGAAAGAGAAAAGGTATTGGTAAGCTGCATTTGACTGATGATGTGCCCCTTATATGCAGACACAAACGATTGTTGTCATGATTATTCTGAACTGGGTTGTGTGTTTGACGCACAAGAAAAAATGTCCTCTTTGTGTCAAAGTATGCTCTACAATAAGAAATGCAGTACGACAGGGTCGTGACTACTCACTCTACAAGATGACCGGACTAACAGCTTGCGCAGGCACTGCGCATGCAATGCAAGTAGATTTGCCTACTATTTTGGCTGGTAAACTTGGTGCAAAGCTCTTGGGCTGTCGGAACTACTGCACATCCTACCATAAAAATAGTTCTTGTGCACTTTAGAGAAAGGATAGGCTAAAAAGAACCACTTACAGGTTTGCAGTTTGTCGGTTTGCCATTCATATCAATGTCTGGAGGGTTTAGAAAATCCCAGTCACGGCCTTTGTTGTAGGTTATCAGAGTTGTAACTTTCCCATCAATTTTCTGGTTGGCCAAAAAGACGCCTTTTACACCTCTGACCTGAGGTATACAGGAGAGAGGGTTAATGACCAGCACATACACTTTTTTTTCAACAAGGATTAACCCTGAATCGCTGCTCTTTTGTGGCTCTGAACTGTGTACCTCTGGTAGTTTCTCTACTAGGAAAGTGAATGATACCTTAAAAAAAAAAAAAAAAAAAAAAAAAGGCAAAAGGATAAGAGGAAAGGAAGAAAGGGGAATGGGAGGATTACTGCTATCTGATTTGTATTTCTAAATGTATTTTAAAAGGATGTGTTATTCTACAAATTCTACAAATGATGTAATCAATTTTTAACAGCAACCTGACTTTACACTGAAGTCATGTGACCTACATCATATAAATAGTACACAAGTAGGTTACAGTAACAAAATATAATATCCTTTCAAATAACACTGAATTAGGAAGCACAACTGCCTTTTGTAGGAAATAAATGCAGACAAATCATCCAGGGAAAAAACAGCGAGGGCTGAATCAACCTCTCAAGCATCTGAAATGCCAGCCTAGCTCTACACATTTAGCCTCCCTTCACCTGTTTAACCTCTGGAGAAAAAGAAAAAAGTTTACAGGCTCTCTCTTCTCTTGGGAAAATTTAGTTATTTCATATCAAAATAATCTGTATTAGAAAATTATTACAACTTAGAGAGTCAAAGTTAACGGGGATAATTTTTAGAAGCAACCTGACAGTAGTCACACCTTAATACGTTTAGCTGTAGCCCTAGCATTTATGTTATGTGCTAATATTCCACCCAATGGCATGAGATAAGATCTTGTATTAAATTTGAAGGTTTCCTTAAGAGTGTTCTTGTTTCCCTTTTGATTATTTATGAGGCTTCTTGAATTTTTGAAAAATTCTTGAAAATGTATACCAACTCATACACCATTCCAACATAGTACAGCTCTCTAATCTGCTTATGTGCTGACATTTAACAAAACCGAAGCATTCATTACAGCTAAATGCACAAGATAGCCAGCTCTTTGCATGATCAGGAATATTTGCCTCTTGCCAACATGATTAATTCCTGGATTTTCTATTTATTTTGTATTGGAAATACTTACTCTTTCC